AGACAACGATACAGGGAACATTAGACAACGATACAGGGAACATGAGACAACGATGCAGGGAACATAAGACAACGATACAGGGAACATGAGACAACGATACAGGGAACATTAGACAACAATACGGGGAATATAAGCCAACAATACAGGGGACATTAGACAATAATACAGGGAGCATTAGACAACAATACAGGGAACATGAGACAACAATACAAGGAACATAAGACAACAATACGGGGAACATTAGACAACGATACAGGGAACATGAGACAACTATACAGGGAACATGAGACAACGATACAGGGGACATTAGACAACGATACGGGGAACATTAGACAACGATACAGGGAGCATTAGACAACAATACAGGGAACATTAGACAACAATACGGGGAACATTAGACAACAATACGGGGAACATTAGACAACGATACAGGGAACATGAGACAACGATACAGGGAACATGAGACAACGATACAGGGAACATGAGACAACGATACAGGGGACATTAGACAACAATACAGGGAACATGAGACAACAATACAAGGAACATAAGACAACAATACGGGGAACATTAGACAACGATACAGGGAACATGAGACAACGATACAGGGGACATTAGACAACAATACGGGGAACATTAGACAACGATACAGGGAACATGAGACAACGATACAGGGAACATTAGACAACAATACGGGGAATATAAGACAACAATACAGGGGACATTAGACAATAATACAGGGAGCATTAGACAACAATACAGGGAACATTAGACAACGATACAGGGAACATGAGACAACGATACAGGGGACATTAGACAACAATACGGGGAACATGAGACAACGATACAGGGGACATTAGACAACAATACGGGGAACATTAGACAACGATACAGGGAACATGAGACAACGATACAGGGAACATTAGACAACAATACAGGGAACATGAGACAACGATACAGGGAACATTAGACAACAATACGGGGAACATTAGACAACGATACAGGGAACATGAGACAACGATACAGGGAACATTAGACAACAATACGGGGAACATTAGACAACAATACAGGGAACATGAGACAACGATACAGGGAACATTAGACAACAATACGGGGAACATTAGACAACAATACAGGGAACATGAGACAACGATACAGGGAACATTAGACAACAATACGGGGAACATTAGACAACAATACAGGGAACATGAGACAACGATACAGGGAACATTAGACAACAATACGGGGAACATTAGACAACAATACAGGGAACATGAGACAACGATACAGGGAACATTAGACAACAATACGGGGAACATTAGACAACAATACAGGGAACATGAGACAACGATACAGGGAACATTAGACAACAATACGGGGAACATTAGACAACAATACGGGGAACATGAGACAACGATACAGGGAACATGAGACAACGATACAGGGAACATTAGACAACAATACGGGGAACATTAGACAACAATACGGGGAACATGAGACAACGATACAGGGAACATGAGACAACGATACAGGGAACATTAGACAACAATACGGGGAACATTAGACAACAATACGGGGAACATGAGACAACGATACAGGGAACATGAGACAACGATACAGGGAACATTAGACAACAATACGGGGAACATTAGACAACAATACGGGGAACATGAGACAACGATACAGGGAACATGAGACAACGATACAGGGAACATTAGACAACAATACGGGGAACATTAGACAACAATACGGGGAACATGAGACAACGATACAGGGAACATGAGACAACGATACAGGGAACATTAGACAACAATACGGGGAACATTAGACAACAATACGGGGAACATGAGACAACGATACAGGGAACATGAGACAACGATACAGGGAACATTAGACAACAATACGGGGAACATTAGACAACAATACGGGGAACATGAGACAACGATACAGGGAACATGAGACAACGATACAGGGA